TCTGGGATTCCCATCTCCTGGATCCCGATGTCGGACGGGTGGAAGAGCATCTCGGGGACGGCGAAGCGCTCGTTGGCCAGCCTCAGGATCTGCTCTCCTGTTTTGTACTTCCCACTGAAGACCATCTCCTCACGGGGCTGGTGAGCAGAAACACCAGAGAGCCATGAACGTGTCACTCACACACACTGAAGATGCTGCCAACATGAGGACGAAGCCACGTGACGGGATCACAGCGACACGTCCTCACTGACGGCGCGTTAACACGAGCTGAGGCTCTCTCACCTTGCAGAAGCCTTTCTTAATGGAGCTGAAATCTGGAAGCACGTAATCCCTCATCACCGTGTTCTCCTCGCCCTTGGCCCTGACAAACCACAGCAGGTGTCCAGTTAACCAGCAGCTGCTGTGCATTTACACTCTGACACAGGGACTCACAATCCAGCTGTTAACGTACGACTTGTTTATATTTGTGGTCATGTGATAAAACACTGAAAGCATCACACTGAGTCCCAGATCAGGACATGAAGCTCAGGCTGAAGCTGCTTACTGGGCGATCTCCATGTCCTTGTAGAACTGCTGCGAGACGTAGCACACGTCCTCCTTCACCTGGTTGATCACGTGAGTCTCGTCCATTACGTGCAGCTGACTGTAAAAACAAACAGGAATCATTTTACTTTTTATTTACTTTAAATGTGAACGAGTGTGACGAGCTTCCTGTTACGGCTGCAGCTGGACCGTCATCGGCTAAAGAGTCACCTGAACACTGAACACCTGTTCAGAGGAGGACTGCTGAGTCAGAACCTGAGGCAGCGACGGACTCCACGAGCATCGCAGAAATACAAGTTACTCAGATCTGTCCCCACTGAGGTCTGGGAGAGACCCTGACTGTCCCCCTCAGACGACAGGAAACTGTTAGGATGTTCAGGATCAAGCCTGCTGTGGACTGGAAGCTGCTGGAACACCAGTGTCACTTCCACAGTGAAGCCAGTCTCACATCTCCACGGACCAAGAAAGAAGCTCCTGCTCCAAAATCAACGAGCTCAACTGAAATCTGCAGCTGCTCACGTGGACGAGCCAAACGGCGTCTGGAGAAACGTTTGATGGTC